CTAGCGATCAAAATATGTATGTATATTGCACGCTAAGTAATGCAGTGTATTTAACTCAAATTTTTGAAAATTAAAACTATAGAGTTAAGATAAGAATGCAGTCTTATATTAAGGGTGTGAAATTGGTATCCGATCTACCAATAACAATTATTTAATTTTAACTACCATACAAGCGAGCCGTCACTATACACAGATTTGTATAAATATAAGCAAGTGCAACTGTACAGGTACGCAATTGTTATCATATTAGTCATGAAATATTGTCTACGGTAGCCGCAATTCAATAATTTAAATAATAATGAAGTATTTAAGTTTGGTTGTTACTGGCGATTTCACATTCAAAACGTGACTCCAGAAGTCCTAAAATAAGAGAATATAGTAATTAGCGAGGTACGTAGTCATCTTACTATACTTACGTATGGTATATACGTACGATATGACCCTTAGAATATGTACAAAGTATCCTTAAGTAAGCTTTGTAAGCGGGGTTGCAGTTTAAAGAATAACAAGCCTTGCTATTCTGTGTTAATAACCCCATGGTTATTTATAAGTACGATATGGCGGTGAAACTACAGAGCTTGAAGGCAATGACACCTTAATACTATTAATATAATAATAGGAACAATCTAAATAATAAGTAATCTTCAATATAAATAAAGTAATAAGTAATAATCACATTTTATGATATCCATAGAGTTGTCAAAGCCTATCATCAAATTGGCCATCTGTTTGCCATTCCATAACAAAAACCAATGTTCGTTTAATAGTACAGAATAGACTTACTAAACAAACACTGATGTACTGTGTCATATGCATAAAGACACCGATCGAGCACAAGACGACTCGCAAGACGAGAACCCGCTAATCGATAATCTGTAAATACTAGTAGGTTCTTATATGACAAACAAGCTGACGGGCGCCTAACGGAAAATGGTACTGGTGCACACCACGGCGTCATAGACCACTATTATAGTAATACAATAACTATAGATATCACAGTATATCAATATTGCATTTTAAATTCTAATATTTATAATATTTATACTGTATCCTTTAATAATATAACATTAAGTTCCCCTTTTGATCCACACACTCTATCAAAAATAGTAGATGTCCAATAATTCAGCTTGATAAGTACATTTGTAAGGTTTTTCCTTATCTACTATTTTTATTAATTATTATAATTCAGTTTTTTATTAACGTTACAATTTGATTGTTAATTATTTATTACATAAAGATTTCTATTGCTAGCCAGACTTGAACTCACGACCTTTGTAGTCCTAGTCGCGTGACTATATATTCGAAATCGTCTAGGTTGGAAAAGACTTCGTAATCTTGATGAACAGCTGGTAATAAATACCATTAGCCAATTAACGAACATTTAGTTAACAATCCGATTCAACTAAAAATCATCCTACGCAGTCCTCTTTTGTAGTCTTTTTATAAACTATTTGTTAGGTATTAGCTAATACTATTTGGTTTTAAAAGTTTTTTACAGTCTATACTGGTCTGCAAACAGAAATTGATGGTATATGTAATGATTAGTTATGGGAACTAGTGGCCTATCGCTTACAATGTTGCATATCTGGTACTTTTTTAAAAGCACTGACACCAACGATTATTCCGCCAAGGAAAGGAGTGTAAGATTCTTTCTCTTTAAAAGTCCACGGCCATGATGCCGGCGACACGTCTATTCTTCCTATTTCTACTACTACTACTTCCTCCTAAGAACGCATAAATTTTTTTGCCGAATTATTCATTTTGAGCTAGGATGTCTAGGTCAAAATGTATTATATATCTTCAAATCAGTATTGGGTACACTAGCGTAGAACGAAAAATATTCCATCACTATACAGAACATACTCGTACATATAAGGGTAACTGTTATTGTCGCGACAAATATATATTCCAAATAGTACTGTGAGTAAGAATTTTATTATCTCTATATATAAATACATAAACAGTTGTTACAGCAATTCCCATAAACTATATTGCCTAACAGAAATATAATGGATTAATGTATTATATATCTGGTTCATACAAAATGTAAAACCATTGAGTCGAAACAGTATTCTGCTAACTGGATTATTTTAACGTACCCATTCGTTAATACTTTATCATAACTCCTGACTAATTATTTAGGTACATGGTATAAAACAATATAATTAACTTATATGTATAATACATGGATGTTGTAGTATGGAACAAGCCGAGAAATTCAAAGATTTGTAATGCATCCGAGCTAAGCCGGGGCGGGTCGTAAGTTATTATATAAATGTGAAAGTAAGTATTAATCAATCATCATGATTGAACGTACACATAGGATTTAGGATGAAAAAGGATATAAATTATTTTGTATCCGGTCAATCATTATCACACGTATTGGTAATGATATTTCATTGTACCTGCGTTGTATTTATTAATGGCCCTACCATTAATAAAAGGAGACTGTTAGTAATGTAGTCGTAGATTCTTGACCCCATTGCTAGCAATGTATCAGGTTAGGTTGACCTCCCATTATTCCTCCTGGAAATCATCATGATAAATTCCTGGCGAATTTGTCACGATCGGTTAACTGACCTGCCCTCATGTTTATCTTATCAATATCCACTGGTGGCCCGCTAGCGTATACCGTTAGCGCAGGAGGGAGCAATATTCCATTATCATAAAAAAAATCGTGTAGTAGTATGTAATTAATTATATATACACAAATAGAATGATTGGATGAACGTGAGGTCAAATCAGTTAGCTAATTATGGCAAATTACTCAGGAACTAATACTGATGGTTTCCAGGAGATAAAATGTAGAACTCGAAGTGATGTTGTACATTGCTAGCAATCGACCAGCTTTTATCACCAACAATTCCCATAAATTAATGTGGTTAAATATTAGTAAATATGTCAGCTATAGTTGAAATGATTTGCGAATGTGTGTGAAATTATCACAAAAGGAACAGGTGACCAAATATAAAAATATTAATAACTGACAAGTCTATGAACAGGCCTACCAATGTTGTAAACTACTTATCTATCAATAAGAAATACATCCCTAATTGGTAAAAATAACAATATTTAAATAATAGAAAATAATGTTGAACGATAATTAAAAACGTACTGCAATATAATAAGTACTACTATGTAATATTATGTTATCTGTGGTATAGTATTTGGTAATATGTAAGTGCTTCAATGATGGAAGTAGGTGTGTGAATGTTCGTCCTCTCGTGATATACTATAACGATGGGTTTGTTACAATAACTTTTTGTGTCGTAACGGGGTGAACAAACTGGTCCAGTTGTGTATTTAGTTCACATTCATAGTAAATTTTGTTTTCATTGTAACATATTGCGTTTACCGTTCGGTTATTCGTTAGCGAATATAAACAAAATAAATAGGCGGTGCCATTGAGACTAGACATAGCGGTACAGAATCTTAGCTACACTATAGTAGAACTGGATTTTTACTTATTAAAAAGGATATACATATATGCTTGGAATGATTATCGATTACGTCGTAAGGTCCCAATCGTTATAGATCCTAAAATTAAACATTCCGCTCGGGATGGGACCGGATTTTATGACCCTGATACCCTTATTTCAGCTGCATATTCTAGTAGTCAAACAGAATTTCTGTTTTTCTATATGTCGATAGATTAAGAGCGTTTTTTGCCAGTTTGTTCCTGTTTCACAGATACGACTGATCTAAATATATACGTTTTTATTTGTCCCGCTTTAGAAAAAAGAATCCGGTAGTTGGATAATTTTGAAAAAACATCCAACACTGATTAATATGTGTCGAAAACAACAAAACTGTACCAGTTGTGACGTAGTCCTTTGTCTAGTTACTTAGTAAGTTATGATTATTAAAATGTTCAGAATAGTCAAAGTGATGGATCATATAATTTTACTCCGCAATGTCAATGAACGTTGACATATTTGACTAAATCGTAAATGGTTGCTATTTGTAGACATTGGTATTCAGTTACTAGTATTTTTTATTAACTCGATTTATATATTTATGCCATTTTCGTAGTGATATTAATATGAATACAAATGGAAACCATTCATTATACTCTGCTTAAAAAAAAAATTATGAAGTATGTATACTATTGCTCACTTCACTATTTTTCTCGGACGAATCCACTCTTAAAACCAGAGAATACCATTGAGAAGTACTTAAAATTATTTTAACTACGATTTTACCTATCTACACTTCGGTGTAGTAAACGTTTTTTAAAGTTAAACAACAAAGTACATTGTCCACACTTTTCGACTCCGTTTTTACAATTGGACGGTAGATATAAAATAATACCTGTTAAAGATTATTTAAAAAGTAGGTATTCTTTTTTTTTCTTATTATGACTTATGTTAAATTTATTTTTTTTATCTGTAATTTAACTCTCTACTTCTCTCACCTATTACTAGCGACCTCATAATTAATAATTTTAATTATAATAGGAAATTTGAAAATAAGAATGTTCGGTTAATAATTGATATTTTTTGTCATTCTAAGAATGTAGTAGTGCCTAACGATATATTTAATGACCGAATCGAGTTATAATCAATCGGTAGGTACCCACATGTGTCACGGTTACTTTCGCCACATTTCGTTGCCAGGGCCAATCGTACGATCACTGCCTGAATCGATATTAGCTGGCGGCGTACTAGACACATTCATCACCTCGGCTCACACTCCAAGGTCGCCATTAATGATCTTGATCCTCGCAGTCTCCTAACAACAAACTTTCAATTGGCAATGGGGGTAAACATTGTGATAGGAAACAACATTATTGTATAGAGTACGTTTGTCACAATGATCCGGCAGAATGAAGGTGCTATTGTCATTTGTATATAATATGTGGCTTTGGTTACGGATGATCGGTGCACGGCACACAGTTTCGTCATGACAAATGAGCAGACGTCGCCCAGAACAGCTGTTTCGCCTGCGTCGACCCGGGGCCGTGTTCGGCGACTCTAAGCTGCCGTATAACTATTACTTACTTGCAAAGGATCCTCCAAAAACAACCAAAACTACTGCCATTTGGAACTTCACCAGCGTACGATATAGTCATGTCGGGTACAGCTTAACACACTATAAAATTAATATTTATACACACACACGTTTTGTTGGCGCGAGCTTGAAACGAGACACACGCGGAAAATTAAATACGTTTTAGAAAGTATTAAAAAGTTTTTTATTCTAGTTACTAGGGAAGGCGAAGGGAAGTTATTGTCTAAGGATTACACTTGTTTAGTCACATTCTGGTGATGTGTTACACACTGCCTTCCCCGGATTGTTGTGTTGCATGAAGGAAAGGCGCACGAAAGCACCGTCCGTGCAGCAGCGACCACTGTGACTGATGAATGATACCTCGCCTGGCATGTTGCTCAAGTTACTCGCTGCTTGCTCGTGCGTAGAACGCTGGTCGGCGCGGGCGCAGCCCCGCAGGCTCTATAGCACGTTTGTTACAATTGATCATGTTCGCCACTAGATGGCGTTAATAAAGAATACAGCCTTCTAGTTATCGATTGGAAATAAGTGATTATGGAATTTATTGACTGCAGTCAGGTTTTTAACCTCAATATGAAAACAATAGAATCGACAACATTGATAACAGGGAACGTTGCCTGGTAGTATGGACAAGTGAGGTCACTGACCATTTCGTTTTATGGGATATGAATGACTAAGAGAAATATTAATAAATATTCTTTGTAAGTAAGCAGGTACTAGTCTTCTGTAGTAGCTACTAAAACTAACGGATGTGCAAAATTTACTTACTTGTTATGATTATATATAAATCAATAAACATATAAACTATTTTTATATATAGGTACCTATTATTCTGTAATGATTTGTAACTAGCACACAATTAATTTTATTATAGTTATCATTTTTGAACAAAAAGTCACGACAGAGATTCTTTTTTGTTAATTCTTCTGTGTTAAGGGAATGTAACCGTAGGATAATAGAAAATACAATACAATTTCCAAAGTCCTTAAAATTAAGTTTATGTTATTAAAGAATATTTATGAATTCTATGAATCACGGCATAGTAAAAGTGGTTCTTTATTATTTTTATCACGATTTTACTTTTGTTAGGTACCTAGGTAGGACTCAAACTATTTCAATTTATCATTTTTATAACTTTCTAGTATATCTACAATATTCAATATTGAAGAAAGTAAGCATATGAAAAAACACCATGATTAATACGCAAATCAATGTAACATAAATCAATATCCATTTTGTTTTTGTTTTGACAGCTACATACAAAATGTCGGCCCATATGACATTTATTATTAAACGGAAGCTAGCTCAAACAAAAGAGACCTACCCAATGGGTTAGAATAGCGCACTGTTCTCCATGCTATTCGGTACAATGCTATAATGAATGAAGCATCACTAGAAAAGGACAAGGTACTCTATATGTCCTTTGTGTAATAACTATATTCCGTAAAAAAAAACAATATTTGCATGATCGATAATCACCTAATATCAAATATCGAAAGAAACTTTCACATTACATATTATTTTATACATACATACTTTGTTTACATGACAATTTAACCTATAACCTAATAAGTTACCTCTTTTCGCTTCCTTCGTCTTCGCATTTATATGAGCTGGCCGGTTTACCTACTCTATAAATTAGTTGTTATCGTTTTATACTATTGAATTACACACTTGCAATAATACAGTATCAATTAAATATTTCGTATTGTGAAAGAAGTAACATGACATTGACATTATTATCGATTTTTCGGTTGTCTTATTTTTAAGGAACGGTAGAAAAATTTATTGGTTTGAATAGAATATTGAGAGTATAGAGCGAACCTCGAAAAAAGAAATAATTTTTCACCAGAAGTATACTGCTTGTGTATTTCAGACTAATACACTTCAGTCGGGGAATAATATTGTCAGTAATATAGAATTTTAATCCCATTGCTAGCAATGCACCGAGTTCGAGTTCTACCTGGAGACCATCGTGATGTGTTCCCGGTGAATTTGTCACGATGGGGTAACTGGCCTGACTTATCGTCCTCCACTGTGCTCTGCCGGCGTAAACCGTGGGCAGGTGCACCATTCCATTATAAAAACAATTTAAACCGGGGGGGAATAGGATTAGTAGTAATGTGGAATAATCCCATTGCTAGCAACGCACCGAATGCTAGCAATGGGGTTGCAAGCTGTGCCAGCGTAAACCGTCAGCGCAGGAAGACGAATCATTCCATAGTCTTCTATTAAAAAAATCTATTTCAGCCGCCAATCAGCTGTAAGCTGTTCCGATTGTTGGGTGCAAATTAGAGTGTCATTACAGGATAAGATATGACATCTTAGTCTTCTAGAATAGCAACGGATGAGTAGTATCACGGGTGTCACCTGATAACATGCCCGTAATGCTATTTATTTATATACATAGGCCACATTTACTACTTACCATTACATGGGCCTTGATTGCCATTCTGATTACACTAAGGAAACTGATACAAATAGATAGATACATTTATTAGTCATCCAGTGCGGAATTCTTATATCTTCCTTGCATTTAATCAAATATAAACCTTGAGATATTTGATAAGCGAACGACTGCCGCCGTTTTCATATATCGTTACTGAAATATATTTTAATATCGTTTCTAAATATACATTTAGATGTTACATACCGTTGGCACTGAAATAATTTCATAACGGAATCTGATAATAGGCTCACCTACAAACCAAAATTCAATGCATCTTAAGAACAACTAAAATTTAGGGTCATCTATGTCCAATAGCGAGGAGTGAATAAAATTGCAAATAATATGCAATAGTATCGTAAACTGCCAACGCCTAATGAAATTTTCGCCAAATTAATTTTATAAAAAAAACCCATGACAATTAATGTGAATGGGAAACATCTATAAAAATAAAAGACGTAATAATGAATGTACGACGATATTTATTTGTTATTAGTTACAAGTCAAAATACTACCCTCGTTACCCGCACTCATACTATACATATACAAATAATAATTAAAAATCTAAAAATTTATAAGTAATGGTACAAATACATTTTTCATTAATGAAATATTCACGTTTTATCTCATTTTCCATACCTAATGATAAAGACACTATAGGTGTTTTAACTGATCGGTAAAACGAGTTCAATAACGTCAATGAAGACAATGAAAAACGAAACTATAATTATTAGGAATTATATAATACAAAAATTTTAATTTGCCTAGCTTTTATTTATGCATACGGATACTGAATACAATAATGCGACATGAAACAAGTCGACGATTTGACAGGCAAGTTCAATAACAATTAAGTATTACACAAATTTGTCAATATAATTTTTTATTGCTTTTCACTTTGGAGTTACAATTCTAACATTATTTTTTACCACCAAAAGACAACGAATTTAAAAAAATATTCTTTTAATTTTCTAAGATTCTAAAGAATTTATCAATTTGAGAGATGGCTACAGGGCCGTCCTCTCACGTTGCATTCAAATATTCTCAGCTTGGGCATGTAAAGTATTGTCTCTGACTGCACCATTTAGAATTACAGCCGTAAGGATATGTATGTTTTCTCTTTTGATTTAAAAGAGAAGAAAACGCATAGCGAATTCATATCACATATGCACTAAAAAACTATCACGCGCAATTTTTTCCCGATATTAACAAAAGCAAAAAAGCATTACTTAATATTGTTAAATATGAAAATAAAAAATATTATGTGACAAATATTTTTTTTGTGTCACGGAAAATTAAAAAAAAATGGAGGTTTAAACTGCCCTGATAAAATATTAAACGTTGCGGTAAAAAAAAAAGTATGAGTGCTTCCATTTCCAGAAACATGACGTCGATACAGAGTATACACATATTTTAAACAGACACCGAAATGTACCAATTGAACAAACCGAATTGCTCAGTACCGCCGCCGGCCGTCCTGAGTACAACCAGCGGCTTGAATCTTATTCTTAACACCTATAATACCTACGTAATAATGCAGACACCTATCATAATAATTATGAGTAAATACGGCCCACCTCAACAACATATTGCCACGAGGTGGCCCTTGCCTGCCAAAGGTAGCCGACTGCTGACTAAATATCTAACATGCATGAAAGAAGGTATAGCTCATGACCAACGTTGTACGTTTTGAATTATCATAAATCTAATATTAATATTATTTTTATATTATAATAGTTTCCTAAACAAATTTTGACAAATATCTAAATGTAACATACCGACTTTCTCATCAGAATACACAGCAAAGTATTTAATATTAAAATTACTATTCAAAGGCTTGCGCGCCTACACGATTCATACTGACTAAATATGGTAAAATACGCATCTTAACTAAGTGGAACTTGCCACGTTGTGTCGAAAAATAAAATGGAATAATCGAGAAGGCCAACAGGAACTTAAAAATAATTTTCTTAAACATACTACGATCACGTTCATTTTAAGTAAAGAGTAATTACATACTAATGATAAACATTATAATTATGTTATACAACTATATTAATTATGATTATGGTAATATATTATAATAAACCATTGACCTCAAAATAAGTGCCCCGCAAATCGTAACAAAACTAATAATTAATCGTCAACACTCAGATTTGAGATAATTTTGAGATGATTAATTCCCAAATGGTTATTATTGACATTCGAAATAGGGACACCGTATAAAGAATAATTAATAAATAGATATACAACAAAGTTATTTAGAAAATAATGTAACTTAAATTTGGAATTGAATGACGAGAAATTGATAAAATTAATGTAAAGCAAAATGTACTTTATATTGAAGAGAAGACAATGTATCTCACATACTGCAACGAGTATACAGACTTAACGTAGTAACAATGGAAACCTATTATCCAACTGTCGAGATAAAATGGCTTACCAAAAATTTATCTCGAATTAAAATTGGAATTTATCTTACTCTATTTCTATATCCTAAATGAAAATACATCTAATATTATTCAATGTGTTACCCAAAATATGGACAGATAAATCACAGCGGATATATTAATTATTAAATATAACATAAAATTAAAACAATCAACGACAATTCTACAAGACGGAGCTTCATAGAAATTATTAAGAAGAGGTATAATTCTAATATTTACTGTCTACACGCGTCTTTACTATTAGTCGACTGCGTGAAACACACGTAATTATAAAGCTCCATATGATATGAAATAGACGGCGCTATCACCGAACAAATAGTATTATTAATTTTTTCAGTAGAAAAAGAAATTGACCTTGTTTGGAAGTTGAAAGTTTTTAAGTAACTGCATTAGATTAAGTGTTAATACTAATCACCATATGAATACTATACGCTATCCGCGAATCTGTCCGCCCAGGAATGAGGTATGTGATGGTGCTTCCTCTAATACTTCTTTATTATAGACAATTGATATTTATGGAGTAAACTATCTACTTGCCTAAACTACAAATCAGTTGGATACCTATATTATTTACAATTATTATAAAATATGTTTGAAAGTGTATAAGTTATGTCAAACAACCGTTGTATTTATAAGAATGTAATAAGCCCAATTTTTGGTAAATGTTAAGTCGTCTGCCAACTAGAATTAAAAACAATTAAAAGAATATATTTTAGGCATCTTATTTTACCTAAAACTCCTAATAGCAATAAAATGTCTAAATAATTAAATGTCTGTTTTGTGATATGACCGTCTCATTTGTTCTTGTTTTGCTATAAGTCACTAAAGCGGCCAGTAAGCATTCTATCACAAATTCCGAAACATAAATGTATCAATGTTACTGTAGGTAGAGGGCATTAATGTATTCTATTACATTCATTCATTTAAAAAAAGTCCTTAATAATCGTTACTTATAAGATAAGTAATTATGTCATTACTTAAATGGATATGCTGATGAATGAATGCAAAATACATAACCGGATGTTTAACTAAAGTAAGTACTACATGACTATTATATTTTTCAGTTTCACTAGAACTCGGAAGTAGATTCGATTTGTTAGGACAAATATTAATAATACTCAATATAATATTTTTATGCCATAGAGATTCAGTACAGTAATTTAACACCTAGTCTATAATATCGAAAATTGTGAAATATGGTTATTGAAAATTTCAAATTGTGTACATGTTTTCTAAAATATAGAGACCGAATGATAAATTAAACAATGTTGAAAATTATTATTTGTCAAAATAATTCAATAAATAAGTTTAGTTCATTTGAATAAAAAAATTAATATGTGATTTTCAACATGCATTGCAAATTTAATTCAGCCAAGCTCAGTTACTGTTAGTGTATGACCTTAAAATTAATAATTTTCAATTTAAATTTATATTACAACATTACAAACGTTTACGTTTCTAAAATTCTTACAACACGATTATAAAATTATATATGTTAGATATCTGGCCCACAGTACAATCAGGCCAGAATAGAATTAATTATAATAAGAATAGTTTATAAAAATAAGCATCACTCGAAGGTCTAGTGATGACCTTCACACCTCATCGTCATGACCGGGGAACGTCTGCCAGCTAAATATTAATAAACACCGAATAATAAACACCGAATATTGCCAAAACTCGATGATATTTCACTGCTTTATTGCATAGTTCTTATAATATAATGCAGCTTTCGACTATCATCGAACATAAAAATTATAAAGGAAACTTTGAAAAAACTAAACCAAAATTCAGAAGTCCGATTAGGACAACAATAAACATTTGACAAATTGTTTATTTTGAATCTGACAAGCAAAGAAGAATGAGGACTGTTGAAAATAATAATAGTAATAAATAATACTCGGCGATAAAATCCCATATCACTGTTCTATATCGTCGAAGATAATATCTTCCAACAGCGACAGACACCGGTCCCCCCCCATGTTATTCTGTAACAATATTATTCATTTAGTTATTTAAGGAATCAAGGAGAAGAACGAGAGTTGTAAAGTTGGTCGTGTAGTTTTCGTAGTTTTTCATTATCATTTCACTTTAGGAATTATATTCAAATGCAATAAACAATATGCTACATAAATACAATCAATTGGCAATGATGTTTTAAATAATTCTAGTAGTAAAAATAACAAATATAAACAAGCAAGTTTTTACGGATATAGTGGATATAGATACAATTTTACATTCATTATATTTCTCAATACATTCACTCATGCTTTTCATACAATTTTATACATATTCTCTGCATAACCGTAAAAATTTGTTTCTTTACTAAAATATTACATTAAATGTAAAATACTACAAATATAACATCAGCAAGATGTTATATTTGTAGTATTTTTTTTCCTTCCATATTGTCATTACAAATACTACAACATGAATAAACGTCTGAATGCTTGTTCACCATCATTATATAAAAATAATTATGAATACTGCCAAACAAAATAAAGTATCTTATACGCAGCACACCATGTCGCCGTAGAGTAATAATTACATTGAATATTAAAATATAATAAATAACTAATACGATATAACATCAAAAGTGAATAAAGAAAAAGAAATACATTGTAAATTATATAGCAGTTGCACTTCAATGTTAAAAGTAAATTGGAATCTATCTAAATAAAGTGGAAGACAATGTATGTTTTTGTATTATCTTATTACGCACAATTATTGAAACGAAATATCCTACTGATATTACAAATGCTAAAGTTTGCCTAGATGGATGGATGGATGTTTGTTGCTCTTTTACTCAAAACCTACTAAATGGAACATAATGAAACTTTACAGTAATACATTTAATAATAATTTATAGTCTAATAAAAAATGGCAAAATATAATTAAAAAAAATATATATATATATACATGACTATTTGTTATATTGAGTTGTCACATGATCATAAAAAGATGGGAGGCCTAAATAACATAATTTATTCCTGCATGCTATGTATTTAAAATACTTACGTGGATAAAGATTAATAAAATTACAAACAATACTCACTAAATATCTCCTCAGTAGCCCTCTCGATGTCCCAGTTGTATGTGGATAGAGCAGCTCGTGCTACTTGCTCGGTCACTCCTATTTCGGCAAGTACTCTAACTTTTTGATTGAATTCATACACGGGTGTGGGCCCTCCAGCGTAAATATTCGTCCAATGCATCGCAGTCATTTGAAACATATGTGGAGTCTCTCTATACTGTCTGGCAACAACGGCATCCTGTGGGTCATTGGGCTCTGCAGATGCAAGCAACGCTTGGATAGAGAGTAGTACTGTCCGCAACGTAAGAGCAGCTGCCCATTGATCTTTGAGTATGTCTAAGCAGATTGCGCCCGTCACTGATGATACATTGGGGTGCCATATCTTCGTTAAGAAACGAATCTGGAAAAAAGATTTTACTTATAGTCATATTTTATTCTTATACATTTACTTAACACTTTTCTAGTGCATTACATCTCATTCATCATGTATGTTATATCATCATGATTGTATAAAAATATAAAATTATAGAGCAATACAAAACTTTATCACCAGTTAGTTGTCCAGTGTTAATATTTCAACTAAATATACATACATACACGCTTCTCTATTGGACACTATGAAACGCCAAATACTCCCATTCATAAATTATTATTTGCTTCCTCTACATTTATCAATCTATTCATAAAGTTTAGCGGTTACATACAAGTTTCATTTGGCCTTTTTGCCTTCTTATTGCGTGTAGTATGTCCCCTATTTGAATTCATTCTCAATGTATCTTTTGTTACATTGAGAATGAATTCAAAATGAATTCATCCTTCATCATTTCCAAAAGATTGTCACACATTATTTTAAATCTTTGTAACTATATTGTCTTTCTGTCTTATTTTATACTACCTTTCGTTTTACACTGCATATACTTCTCAAAGATAACATTTCCATTGCATTGTTCCTGCTTTCAGCCTTTCTCTAGCAATACTCACGATTTACTTTCATATATATGTTGGTGTTACTCTTTCAATTATGGCTATGCAAGCATAACTGAGCAGCAGCTATTTGTTCTATTTCCTACTTTCATTCTCTTTTTAATATCAATCTTACACTTTTCATGCATTGTAAATATAGAAAATCATTCACTTGTTCCACTGTTTCATTTCATATCATTATCTGCTATGCCATTGTAATCTATATAATGTATTGTAATAAATAAAAGTTATAGATATTTATTCTATGTATTTGTTTTCATAACTTTCCACTGTACACGTTTCGTTCACTATTGTCATCAACGTATATAAAAAAATAGATTTTTTATTCAATTTACTATTATTTTATTTTTTTTATTCAATGGTACAAGAACTATTTACTTATATAAAAGATAATTCAGTCATTTGATTGACAAAAGAAATTAACAACAATATCGCTAAAATATTAAAACTTTATTAATCATGAAAAAAATATCGTTTTATAACCATCATCATCAAGTAGTTCAATCTTTCACATATAATGATCATCTCATAATCTTGGCCTAAAATCAGTCTTAATAATATTGGAATACGAACTATAGTCGATAAGTATGTATTACGTCAAAAAAGAACGTGAATACGTAATTTTCAACGATGACGAAGCGCACGTGATGCACGCTCCTGATGCAAGCTGGCATTCATAAAGGTCAAAAGTCGAAGATGTCAATTTCGTCCAATTGATTTCTAAAACTATTCATTCACCTACAATACATCGTAAAGTAGCCGTGGAAAACTAACTTTTCAAGATCATTTATTTTTGCTACAAACAACAATCAATAGCCATTTAATATACAGTTGATTGCTGTTCATTTATTTATCATTATTGCGCTGCCCTTTTTGTTGACATGGAATATTATAAATCGTTACGTACATGATATATACAGATATTGTTATTGTAGGAAGATAAATGTATGGTTGATGAACTTTATAGATATTGAGTACTGTCCCACTAAAGAATCTTGTATTTAAATAAAATAATGTTTTCATTTTTGTGTTATCATCCATAAATCAGTTAAAACTAGTTCAAACGAACTTCACGTCTTGCCTCTACTCCCCAGTGCCGGATTTATAAATTGTTTATCTTTTATCCTCTGAAATCAAGTGACCGTCCTCCTTCTGAAATCCGCTCCTGGATTTAAATAGGCCATATATGGCTTATTTATAAATCCAGGATTGCTTCTCTCCCCCCCCCCCCCCCCCCTTCTCACACTGCGCTTTAACACAGCTGGTCAGCATTGTTAAACTGCCGCCACCACATAGTGTGTTAACCAAGTATAAATTCATCAACACTACAATTTAAACTTTATGTTTACACAGATGAAGTAGGAAATATATTAATTTTTTTTGTTAATAACGACGCTATGTGAATTGTCAAGGGGTATATTATCTTTACATATAAAAATTACGTGTCACGTTGTTTGTCCGCGATGGACTCCTAAATTACTGAACCGATTGCAAATTTGTACATTGTGTGCAATTCGATCCAACTTGAAAGACAGGATAGCTTACATCTCAATTTTATAGTCGGAATATTATTTTATTCTACAACCTTAGCCACAGCAACGAGTGGCCGGGTCTGCAGGTTAAATATATATATATATCTTGAACTGTACCTTAGGTGGATTGAATGGATACGTTTCTGGTACTTTTATTTCAAGGGTAAATGTGCCGCCTTGATATGGTGTATCTGGTGGTCCTCCGATCTCGCCCTTCAGCTCTGTCCAACGGTTTTCTATTAATTCCAATTTGATTGACGCTCCCGTAATCTGAAATAAGACGCGTCAAAAATGGATTAGAGTTTTTGTTACATTTAATTTTTTTAAAGGAACAAAAATTCTTAACGCTAATAGGCCCCTAACCACTATTGCAAATTTGGCAGATTGTCTGTTCCAGAGACACTGGATATCATTATTGCACTGCTGCGGACCCTGTGCTTCTGGACGTGGACATAGATATATGAACTGAGAGCATATCTCTATATATTATAATATACTAACATATAATAGTTTATAAGTTGTTTACTAACACAATATGGATGTAATCAAAATTAATTAAATAAATAAAATATATGCTAAATAAGCTATCTAACTAATATCATAACACTAAAAGTTGAATATAGTGTGTTTTTTGTCCTTTCACACAAAAATACTAAATAGATTTTGATGAGACTATACAGTTGACACATTAGCATACACATAGGTTATATTTTAAAGATTATGTATAAATTGGACAAATTTAAATAATAAGTGTCAAGTAAGTTCAGAAATAATCCTTCAAAAAATGACCTATCTGTATAAACTGTTTGTGAATTAATAAAGAAATAAAAAGACCTGATCAATTAATATACTCTAAAGATGGGCGAGCAATGCCCCTATTGTCTGTTTTTATCTCGGTAACAGGTTAACCAGCTTGTAACCAGAAGTGGAAAGGAGCTGTATTTTGGATAAGTTTTAAATTATTCAATGATGTTTCTACAGCATATTTTTAAAATTCATGTACATACACTACTTTTTTCATTCCTAACATTGAATTAAACATTGTATGTATCTGACTAACATTATGAACGCGAAAGTTTGTAAGTATGGATGGATGTTTGTTATTCTTTGACACAAAAATTACGGAACGAATTTTGATAAAACTATAGAGTAATGAAGCTTATACAATAGAATAATACACATAGACATAAGTAAGTGTGATGCAGACGAAGTTGCTTATTATTAAATATAATAACATAGGAAGGTCCTTATATTTAACTAGCCGTACACGCGACTACGTCCACGTGGAATTAAACTTTATATTTCTAAATTAAAAGTAGCATAAGTTAATCCTTATTACATCAGCTACCTGCCAAAAAAGTCCCGTCAAAATCAGTCTAGTTATTTCAGAGATTAGTCGGAACAAACAGACAAACAAAAATTGTAAAAAATTACTTTTTAGTTATGTACCATAATTACATGTGGTAAAAAAGGGTTATTTCAATATTACAAACAGACATACTAATTGTATGTATATGTATAGATAAATTAAAAATCCAGTCAGTCTTTGTTATAGTGAAATATTTGTCAATTAAAACATATCTGTTTTGATACAACAATCCTATATTTATTACCTACACTTTACTAATTTTTAGTTTGTTTTCATTAAACATACCCAGATTATTTCTGAGGAACTTACATTAATTTCTGATAGTGCTGATTTAGGAATCGCAGAAACCTAACAACTTAGGGAATGTCAATATATATCTCGAGACAAAGACAAACTACAGTTTAACATTAGTGTAACTTTGGATCGTCAAAGTTATTCTATTAATGTTATTTATTTTTGTTTTAAAATAATTGATTTACTGTTAATAGGATTAATTTATCACATTTTGAAATGAAAACATCAAATTGTACCTACTTAGTTAAACTGAAAGTATTTAAAATATTTGTTTATATTACTAGTACTAAAATTAAATAAAATTTTATACAGAAAAAGGTGACTGTTTTTATTTATTACTCCAAACTATGTTTAGATACTAGGCAGAATAACAAAAATAACTGGGAAACCATAAAAAAATTATAGGTATGTTAATATAAACTACTAGGGGGAAAGGCGATTGTATGGTGTGATGATCTTATTGCTAGCAATGTATCATGTCAGGTTAACCTCCACACAGTTCCCCCTGGAAGCCATTGTGATAAATTCTCGGTGAATTTGTCACAATGGGCTTACTCCTCACTAGTGCCCCGCTAGCGTAAACTATTAGCACAGGCGATTGCACCATTCCATAATCATCCATAAAAAAGGCCACTTAAAATCTAAGAAGTAAACAATTTCTACTGATTTCAACTGACTTAAAAAAAGGAAAAATTTAATATTAAAAAATTATTTATTCATGTTAGGAAGGACTTTTTAGCCGCTTGTGATTGTAATTTTTTTTGTATTACATTTTTTTCACCACCATCCAGTTTAGTATTTGGAATTGTTATGATTTTTAATGTTTTAGCTAAAAAATAAATATATTTTGGAAATTTGGTTTTAATTTATTATATTTTATCAAGTTTTTTGTAACAGGAAATATAATAATGTGACTAAACATTATTGTTCTTCTTATTTCTGTTTTAAAATTAGTTGGCATACTACTTATTAGATTAGCATTTAGGTAAATCGAAGTGCTTTTGCTGTAGAAATTATTGAACTTTGGAAGTGTTTGTTTATTCTTAGTAATGATGCTGATTGTATTTGTTCGTCTGGATATCTATTGATTCCCTGTGTTAAAGTATTGTCCGCATAATATAAGCAGTACCCGCAGTTTCAACTGCAAGAAATTTATAGCCTATTTATTAATCTGATATGCTATATTACTGTATAGTTTCATTAAAATTCATTTAGTGGTTTTTGTGTGAAAGAGTTATGTTTGTTACCATCCATCTATCCATCCATATTCAGGAACTTTTCCATTTACATTAACAGTAAGATTTTTTTTATTACCTATGGACATGAATGTGAACAGATTGTGATAGTTATGTTTATATTGTTTTGTAATATATGTTAATAAAACAATATATATAATATAATATATAGTGGTAATAATATTGTGTTGTGTTACTGTTGAATAATCTCAGGAGAAAGATATACTAAGTACTAAAATGGGTGCTTTCTTAAAAAGTAGTCTATATGTCAAGAAATACGCATTTCAGTAAGTATATAATAGGGACTATTGTTTTCAGTAATCTTATTTACAGCTCATATATTTTTTCAAACTGTGACTTAAAAGTGCTTCAAATGAAGAAGATAAAGGCAAGGCAATAATAAATTACATGTTATATACATAGGATTTATAAATTATAAAATAATTAATTATATTATAATCTAGGTAACAAAGGTACCTAGCACCTGGCATCCATTTTGATTACTATTTATGACCTGTGATTTCAGTCAGAAAAAAAAAGACTAATTAAATAAATAGATACATATTTTAACACACAACATTAGTGGGTAATAAAGTACGTAACTATATATTAAATATATTGCAAATACACTTTCCACTATCGATCGTTACTACTGTTAAAAATATGGTACATAAGTACAAAAATTACATACAATCCAAAATTTAACATATATTTGGATTTTTTATTTATATATGGCTGTATTGGTTTAGATAGATTCTCGCATTAGTAGAAACAATATTTTTAAGGAGAAAAGATAAAGTGACATTTCAAAACCTGCTGAATCACTGTAGTTTTAGTAACTGGCTTGAAGAATGGCTCAATATCCACATGAATATTATGAACATTTGGATTAAAATGAGGACCATAATATATCGTACTTTGTACTACATTGATCGATGTTCCATAGAAAAATACAAAATATGCAAGTAAGTGTCCAGTTATCAAGGCACGGTTTACATACTAAGATTCAATGGGAGAATAGTGTACTTACCTCTTCATTTTTCATTACCTCCTTGATTTCTCTTCTAATACGTTGCGCTGCTATATTAGCCATATTTTTCACTATTAAAATGTTCGACTATTAGACAACGAGCAAGTATTGAAGACAGAACAGAAACCGGAAGCTGTGTGACCAGAAAAAAATAGTTTTTTTTTATTTTTGATTAATCATAATCATGGATACAAGCTGTTCAGTCATAATTATTGATCGAAGAATGAATGTATGCTTAGATAACAATTATCAGCTTTTGACTTGAAAATATAAGATAGAATAAGTCTACAGTCAATAAATTACAAGTAGCGACCAATTCCGAACAGTAAGCAAAAACAAAACTTGTTTCTTATATAAAAGTTTTTTAGGAATCTCTTATATAGAGACAATTTAATACATATATTCTTAATATTGAGGTACTATCACGATGAAACTATAGTTAATAATTTATAACATTAGGTTTCTACTTTCTTCAGATTAGGCGATATGAAATACGCAGTCTTCCAGTAACATAATACACTTCAGTAATACCCTGTTAAGTGTTGCCGTTGAAAATAAAACAAAAGGTCTATGGTGAAGGTTCAAAATTGTATTCGTAGAGACAATAAAACTTCACTCATTCGTTCATTCGTTATAATTCATTCCACACAAGTCCTCTTCGAGACTCAACATCAAACCATAGACAGTATCATTGTCGTCGGCTTCGGAAACGCACTTCACAGGGCTTTATGCTATGGTCGATTAATTGTAGGTGATATATTATTTTATTTTGTTCCGTGAACGTATATTCGTAATATTATAACTAAATATGAATATAGAATGGTGATATCCGAACTGAAGTTAACGTGAAGAGACCTTTAGTGTTAACTTACTGAATTATGGCTTGTGATTTGAACTGTGTAAGGACAAAGTTATGTTAATTCTCTCCCCATGTCACCGGGTTCCACCTATGTACCTGGCACTGGCACTTGAAGGTGCGTTACTTGGTTGTATATGCATGCGAGAACAGTATTCACTTTCAGTTGTTATTGTTTTTGTTATGTTTTCATGAAAGCGCTTTGTTCATCAGTTTTCGGTAATATAAATAATTTAAGGCCTAACGGGAGTCAAGTGTACGTTTCTTGATCTCGAGACAGCATTCTTTTTCTTTTACTTGAGTGATACATTAGTCTATTTATATTTTCGTTAATTGTTTCGAACTTTGTTTTTGTCGTAATATTAAAATATTGGAGGCAAATCGAAAACTGAGACATTTGTTTACTAATAATACACCGTAGCGTAGTAATTTTGAACGGATGCCTCTTACATTCATTTCACTTTCATGATATTTGAGGTACAAAAATGAAACATTTTTGTTTGCTTCTTACTAAAAACTTTAATATATTAATTTTTAACACAGTAAGATGTTATTTTGGAATATACTTAGTACTTTCAGTTTATATGCATGTGAAGTAAATTTAAAATGAAAATTTATGGACTAAATGTTTTAAAATATAATTTATTAAATAACCAAAATTCATAATAATAATATATGGAATTCAGTAGCTAAATGTAGCCTAGTCAAGTAGTTGTAATATGTTTATTTTTAGTCAGACATTATTATTGCCATTGAATTAAAAATATATATTTTATTTCATTTCTATGGTCTGAAAGTAATATTGACAGAAAAATATTTTTATTGATTTATTATTTTTATTCTACACCGAAAGTGAATATTATTATAAACTTGTTTTTTTTATAATAATAATAACTCTGACCAATCCACACGGTCCCATCTAGTCCCAAGAGACAATTATACTCATGAATGTATATTTGTACCATATGAGAAATCTAATGTGCCACCATAAAAAATAAAGTGGTGTTAATCTGCTAGACCACAGAGACTGACAATAGAATATATTAAGTGTATACACAGTATTTTTAAGCACAAACAGTACACAGTATAATTAAGGAAGTAAAAGAAAGAACTGAATAACTGATAAAATAAAAAAAACACGCCCACCCAGAGTATGAATTCCTCATAATATGCAGAGAAGAGGATGAAGTATGAAAAAACTAGTAACGGTATTTATGAGCAGAATGAGTATTTAAAATTGTTCTCCATCATGTATATGAAGGAATAGAGGGTACCCTTTTGGGAATATTGAGTTTACCATGTAGAATAATATGACCTAGCAGTAATCTAATACTCAGTTCCCTAAAAACACATAATAAATTCCTATTACTGCGACAAAACCTGTTGTTTATTCTTTGTTGAGGATTGGTAAATCAACAGCTTGAATAATAATCATTAGTTCCTCTTCGGTTATAAAAATGATACCTTCCACTGCACATTAAATATGTGTGGTAATATGGTAGCTAAAACAATGAAAGTAGCCACTCATTTATTGTATTAAAACTGCAATATCTCCAATTGCTTTGACTCCAATGACAACAGCCTTTACTACGACTAACTATTCTACTAAATTTACAATCTCCTCAATCTAAAACCACCATATTGGAAAGAAAAAAGGTGGAAGGTTAGGTAATATGTATGTAGGAACTTTGTAGCAGTTCCTATTGGACCTAAACGGAATGAACTGTAGAAATGAGGCTGCATGTAGTAATCACAAACCTCAAAAAAAGTCTTGTATGGAATTCTATGAAAAGAAAACCTCAGCTTTCATATTAGCATATTGTAAAACGCTACATAACGTTGCTGAGGATAGTGAAATTACACTACACACAGTAAAGAACTAGCTGCGATATAGCTGCTTCTCAGAAGCAGCAATATTGCAGCTATCGCAAAAGCAGGCGGCGGAGTGGGAGCGTAAGCGTTGTTCCGTCCATCCGCTCCTGTAATCCACCCCAGTTAGGGTTCCGTAACGTGACGTGAGGGTCAGGCGTAACGGTCGGGGACTACCAAGCGCCTTCGGGGATCTACAAAATATTTTTTGTGCAAACGGTCTCTGACTGTTTCATCCACTACATCTCAGGTACTATAAAAAATAGCAACATAACAGTTCCTTAATTAATAGGATCAAAGGATATTTCTAAAAGTATTAACGATCACCATTATGAAATCATTTTCTGAGTAACTAAATTAAAATAACTGATATAGCCGCAAACGTAAGTAAATTAAAAAAGTAATAACACGTAACTGTTCCGCAAACTTTTTGTACTTAAGGTACACCTATCAAATCAAGAAGTTTTAATGGCACATCAAAGAAAAACCCAACGTTTACTTAAAATGTTTATTGAGAAATTTGTGCCTTTTTAACTGAGCGATCAAAATTTAGAGCAAATGATGATAAGGCTCCACTTCGTTTTCCGTTTCCGCGGCACTCTAACTAATGACCACGATACACCAGTGTGCTGCGGCACAATGTTTGCGAAACTGTGTACTAGATGGAGCAATGACCTCAAGTCTATTGCCAAGATTCAGTGGTTATGGCAAAGGACACTTCATTGGGATTGTATGGAGAAGACCTACACCAAGTTCAAACCAAAGAGGTTGAAGTAGACTTTAGAAGCAGAAATTGGCAGGGAAATAAGGAGTAATCTATAGAACGTTGAAGATCGTTTTTAATTTCCCCACCAATGATACGCTTGAAACGACGAAAAGTTTCTCAAACTTCCTTTTAAGATTGTTAACTGAACAACGTAGACATATATTGCTGACAATCAATTTTCCAATTTCAATATACAACACCATTTTACAATAATGCGACGCCGCTTGGTACCTGTGAAAAGATCCTCCTCCGTTTAGTTTCGTCCTAATAGCGAAAACAGCACATCGGCGGTATCAGTATAGCTACAGAGGGACATTTAATTTTATGAGCTTTGTATAACGCTCACATACATGATAACACGTGTACCTGTCGATTCAGCACATAGTCTCTACAATATACTAAAATAAACCTTGACTTCTCAGTCCAGACCTTGATTTCATACACTCATTCTATTGTTATCTACAACAACCCCTTTTGTTTTGAGCTTGGAGTGGTTAACACTCGTATCTCGAAAGCGGAGCCCCTATATTTCGTTGAGATCATGTAGTCGCGTAGTTACCTAGGTATAATTGACAAAGAACTTGCATACCTCTTATTTATGTGAATATATTTTGCATTTCATTCGCTGTATTAGTTGAAAGTTACTGTCTCTATTCAAATATATCTTTGTAATGTATACGTACGTATATTATAACCATGGGTTGAATTATCTATCACAAGTTTATGTTGCTAACAATTCTTATTTGAAATAGATTGAAAATTACAGATATGTGATTGTATGTTTGCAGTTGCAAATATGTACATCTAAACTTGTAACTGTGACTCAAATATTTCAAAGAAAATAGCAAATTGTAAATTTTAAAACAACTCTTGTTAGCGACGATGTTAAATCTCTACCCCAGGTTAGCTGTTGGTTTATATGTTGCAGAAAAAAAATATCTATAGAAAAACAATTTACATTATCCGGACGTCGTTATTATAAGTGCTCCACGGATATGGATAATTTAAATTGGCATTTTGATACTAAAAATATGAAACGCAGCTGCATTGTCGAAGTGCAACACATAATATTTTTCGTTGTGAATAATTTATCCCATTATTTTCGGCTTAATTATTCATTCTAGTATTGATAGTGATAGGTTATTTTTACTGTCTGTTGTTAGGAATATTTTATGTTATTTTTCTATATAGATATCGACCTATATATTATATTTTTATTGTTTTTGTACATTTTATTAAATGTATAATACAAAATTATTGTGATTATGGGTTAGTATTTTACACGAAATATACTCCTAAACGACAGGTTTATGAGTATATTTCGTGTAAAATACTCTATCTTTAATAAGTCTTCAAAATAATTTAATTTTCGAGTAAGATTTCCGTAATTTTTTGTCAAAGCACAAATATAAACTAATTCGATAATAACTTTGCTAACAAATTGACCCAAAAGAAATTACTACTTTTTTCTGTCCTGTGACATAGACAAACCAAGAAACAAACGCCAGTAAAACCCAGATAAAATTTACTAGAAGTCTATTTTTTTTAACTAGGTGTCGTACATTGGGTGTGTATAAATTTTAAGAAACGCAGAAACTCGATTAAAGATAATCACGGCCAGAACGTCTAATGACGTGGCCACTAGGGAAATGATTCAAAAAGTTGAAAAAATAGTAGATTTGTAGTTGAAGTAATTGGACAATGCCTGGCTAAAGAACATACAATTCGCAGATATTTGGAGTAGCGGATTATCAATTCTTAAAATTCTTTATGATCTCCTTTGCAGTGCAAGATACATGCTGTAAATACTTATGCCGCTTCAAAAACATTAGCGCGTGAAGTGTTCTCACGAGTAATCAAGACTATGCAGTAGCACAAAGAGACACATCATGGTACAAAAAATGTTTTCACATGGGCTAGGAAAATCTTGGCCGCATTATTTTGGAACTCGGAAGTTATCCTGTACATGGATTAAAAAGACTAACGTGTATAACTGCTTTAATCTTAAAGTAGGCATTAGAGAAATTGTAAGAGGAAAATTGAAGAAGTCTCCTTCTTCTGCATATGCATGGCAACACGCTTTTACACAATAGCTGTATTGAAGTAGGTGCCCTGCAGAAAGTGATTTTTTTAATTTTGGATCACCTACCCTTCAGTCATTATCTGTGTCCCAGCGATTATTATAGTTTAGGTACAAACTTGATATAGAACTTCGTGGCAAGAAATTTTTCGTTGAAGAAGCGATAGTTGCAGTTTCAACATAGGTTTCAGACAAAAATACAGTTTTTTAAAAATATATTAGGTTAGCAGGTGAATATATTGAAAAGGAAAAAGAAAAAGAAATATATAATATTTTTATTTCAAATTCCAATTCTAGAATAGTATAAACCGCGAATTGGCAACCGGAGCTTAGGACGCTCGGAACCTACATACATGTAGTGACAACATACGTAGGATTACGGGTTTCAACTGGATAACAGGGA